GTTCGCTCAAAGTGTCAACCCTCTGATGTCGTCACCATGTTTGTTCGCTCACAGTGTCAACCCACGGTCGCCATGTTTGTTTGCTCACAGTGTCAACCCACGGTCGCCATGTTTGTTCGCTCACAGTGTCAACCCCCTGTCGTTGCCATGTTTGATCTCACGGTTGCATCTTGCAGGTTTCGTAGTCGGCCAGGCCGGTGTGCTAGAGTCGGCAGGACTGTTTGCGCTCTCCTACTTAATTCTCGGGCTCACCGTACTGTCGATCTGCGCCATCTCAACAAACGGTGCCATCGACGGTGGTGGCTGCTACTGTATCCTTCATCTGTCACAGGACTTGAGTTTCACCACGGCAAGAGAGAAAATTCAATGACATCCACTTTAATAAACCAATATAGCCACCCTACGTGGTAATGCCAATGCCATGAATCCCACGTAGTGTATGTATCTCTTTATCACACATGAAAAGTGTTGATAAAAAATAAGTGGCCTTGTTCACCCTATTTTGAAGGAGCTGTTTGTCTACGTGTTCCTGCACCTCACCATACTGCCCTAAAATTTCTGATTAAACCCATGGGAACACTTGTCTTTCCCTAAAAAAAGATTGTAGTTCGATTCTTGCTGGCATTTGACATTATATGCAAGCGATATGTACACACGTACCACGTTGACTACTCCCACGTTTTCATGTGAGGTGAGGCCACGGTTAAATAGGCATTGCTTGTACTAAAAAACATTTGTTTAGAAATAAAGGTAGCTATTAGCATTGGGAATTTGTTCTTTGGCCCATGTTTACCTCCTAGTTGGTAGATGTTTGCTCTAGCACTAACGTTCTTTAAACGTTTGGCTGTGGTGGAGTATGCTTCTGTAATTATCCAGTTTTGCCGTGCACATATGATTTCTTAACACCAGAGGTGTGTATAACAAATACACTCAGCTGTAATTTTACCCATAGGTGTCCTACAATTCGCAAGGGTTTTACATTATTTGTCGTGTTAATTTGTAAAATTTATTTAAACGATTGTACAGTTCAATCCCCAAATGTATCGTCAGAGAAAATTCGTGGCCCAGTGGTTAGGCCACGTTGACTGTCCACTGAAGGCTGTGAGTTCAAACTCCGGCCGGGGCAGTGAATTTTCTCAAGGTATAAAAACCTGGCTCTCAACATTGGAGACTGTGAATCTCCCGTGGCTCGGATGACCACGTAAAGTGGCGGTCCCGTCTCCAGTAATACTAAGGCCAATGGGGACGTAAAAGACGGTGCCCACCCTCAGTGCCATTCGGCTAAAAGGCTAACTACCTGGCTTTACCCAAGCTAGGTCACACCCCATGGCTAGCTATAGCACTGGACGTTTATTCCTTACGGACTGTCCAGTATAGAAGTAGAAGTTGAAGTATGTACAGCCAAACCTGTGTTAGCAGAGAACTCTGTCAAACAATCACATGTCTGCAAACTTGGGGGTTTTCGTGGGTGATTATAGTCACGCAAGGAAACCATCATATGTAAAATGGATTCCTATCTACAAGGGACAATTTTGTGGTTTCTGTTGATCGTTATAATACAGGTTTGACAGTAGATGAGAGTGGGTGCTCACCTTTGTGTTCCTTAATAGTCCCTAAACAGACATGATTAGCCGGGCCCTCGGCCCCGAATTCGGAGGCAGCATTGGGACACTGTTCTTCTTCGCAAATGTATTTAGCAGCGCCCTCTATACTACAGGATGTGTAGAAGGCATTGTGGACAACTTTGGTCCAGGAGGTGAGTAAATCGTAATTAGTACACCGAGAAGTCCATATTATATTCGTTTAAGATTGGTATTGCATGCTATGTAAATATAGTGTTATCAGATCCATTGTGATTTAGCTTCGATATTATCAGGAGTAGATAATAGGGAGGAGTGTGACATCAATAAACAAGGGAAATTCGTCATTTACTAGCCTTATAATACCTACGATTTACTACACGTAACTCATCCAACTTGAGCTCAAATCGGACACAGTACATTCGCCCATCATCGTACGAAATCGTTTTCTCGTAGACACCCGCAATCCGTAGATACAGCCTAAAACGTACGACACGATTCTCCATT